AGGGCCCTCACTGGGGCCAGGGGGCAAACTGGTCTGACTGGGGGAGACTGGGTGTGCAGGGAGCCCAGTGGGCCTTTATACAACTTTATCCCACAGGATTAAGGATGTGATATGGTTTGAAGCTGGCTCCCTGCCAAGTCTCCAAACCTTACCACCAGAAGTCCCCCTCCCTCCCCCCCAAAACCTCAGGGAGAAGAGGGAGAAAAAAAACTAAGAAAACCCAAAACGAGAGAGAGACAACCAAAGTGAGATATATAAATATATTTACACTTATATACAATTAAAATATACAATTTCTCAAGGGAAAGGGAAGGGGGAAGGGAAAGGGAACAAAACTAAAATAAAATATATATATCCCAATTAGTGACCCAATATCTAACAACTAAAAGAGTTAGCAAAGAAAATATCTCACTACTCTCCTGGGACAACCGAGAGTCGCTCCGGAACGATCGCCGGCAACCTCCGTCTCCCAAGGTTGGCAAGGCCCAACCAGGCCTCGCTCCCCAACAGGACAGACTCAACAGCAGGGAACCTGCACCTCCAAGCCACCAGAAGGAAAGAGAGCGAAGGCCTCTCCTCCTTTCTTCTTATAGCCTGGCTTACGTAAAAATCGTAGGGAATACTGAGTAAATCTGGACCCTTCCTTGGTTACAAACTGGTCACCAAGGAAGGCCTAGCCCAAACCACCACAGGATGGCAAAGCAAATACATTTATATAAATATATAGGATTTATTCTGATAATGATTAGACAAAAAGACCTTAATTAGAATTATTTACTACACCATGTAGGAGCTACAACTATTAGTAGAGTATAGAGCACTAGGAAGCAATATTGAAGCAATTATAGTAAAGCTGGTAAAATCAAGTAGAGCTTGATGTGACTCACCCAGACCAACAATTGTGGGTAAAGGAGTGATCTTGAGGGGTGTCCCCACTCCGAAGAGGAATCTCCACACTCCAAGAAGGAATAATTCAGAAGATCCTTCCATTAAAATTTGGGCTTTTATAGTATTGTTACAATCTGCTTAAATGTTGCAGAAAGAACTTCAGATTCGAATATTCTCTTGAACAAAATTAAAACTCACACAAGTTATCCGTTGATACCAAAACTGATTTTATTAATTGCTAAGAGATGCAAAGAGAAAGAGGAAAAAATAAGAAAAGGTTGGAAAATGCTAAGATTACTTCTAGAAGCAGAGAAAAGATACCACCAAAACTACCTTTCTGCCAAGTTGGGGGGGGAGAAGCAGTTTCTGCCCTTTTTTTTCTCTGTCTCTGCTGCTTTTCGATGTTATCTCTTTAGCTAGGGGGGGGGTGTTAGCAGTTTTAGTTCTCTGGAATGCAGCCAGGATGTGTGGTTTCCCTGCTCATGCTGAGCCATGTCCCAGGCCGTGCAGGGTCCTGGTTCAGCCACACCTTTCGACCCCCAGAAATATGGTCAGGGTGGAAGGATAAGATACAACTCATGCAGGTGGCACGGTGGGTCTCAGTCCACTCCAGGCCAGCAGTTCCAGTCTCCAGTGGCAGCATCTGCTGGTAGAGGAAAGGTGAGGGGGAGGTGGGGAGAGATTCTCAGCTTCAATAACCAGTTCTCTCTCCCTTTCCTCTCTCCTTGATTTTCCAAAATTTTCCCTCAACTTTTCTAGTGTTCAAAGAAGGTTGTACGTGGTTTCTTGGCACGTAGCCCTATGCAGATGTCTGAGGAGATATGATAACCATAAACAACAGCAGGATCTTTTGGCAGGAAAGCTCCGGCAGGAAGCTCTGGTGAGAACTTCTGGCAGAAAGCTGACAGAGAATTTTTGGTAGGAAGTTTTGACAGGCAGAAACAATGGCAAAACATTATTTCTGGCATTTCTATATTATCTGTGTGTTACAAGTATAAAGTGCAAGTCTGTCAGTCAGGTGTGTCCAGGTTGTGCCAGCTCAGCAGCTTTGGAGAAGTTCTCAGTGGTGTCACTTGTTCTTCCTTTATTTGGTGATTTTCCCAGCTCTGCCACATCTTCATTCTCAAATTTTGGATCAATGAGTCCAGTTGGTTCCAGCATCACTCGACCTCAAGAGCAGCAGGACCCCACTTCTCCATTCCCCAGTGAGGGCTTTGCAAATATTGCATTGAGTTGTTTTTCCCCATTCCAAGCTACAGGTTCCCTGGGATGCCACATTGGATAAACCAGTTACACCAGTTCCGTTGGAGAATAAAACCAGTTAAAACAGTTATATTGGAGAATACAGTTATATTGGAGAATAGTTACACCAGTTCCAATAGAGAATTAAACCCAGATACAACAGGGCTTTACGGAAACAAAGGTACCCTGGGACCTTTCAGAACCCCATGGAATCAAGGCCTCATTTTGACATTGAGGGGCCTAATGGAATACAGGGGTCCATTGTGACACTGCAGAATGTCATGGGGTCATTTTGACATTGTGGAACCTCATGGAATCAAGGGGTCATTTGACACTGAGGAACTGATGGAATCAGGGGACCATTGTGACACTGCAGGGCCTCATGGAACCAAAGGAACACAGGGAGACTGTGGAATCTCATGGAACCAAGGGGCCACTGTGACATGCAGGGCCTCATGGAACCAAAGCAATCCTGAGACATTTTGGAACCTCATGAAATCAATGGGCCATTCAATCACAGAATGTGCTGAGTTGGAAGGGACCCACAAGGATCATTGAGTCCAACTCTTAACCTTGTACAGGACCATCCCCAAGAGTCACACCATGTGCCTTAGAGTATCATACAGATACTTCTTGAGCTTTGTCAGCCTTGGTGCTGTGACCACTGCCCTGGGGAGCCTGTTCAGTGCCCAACCAGCCTCTGGGGGAAGAACCTTTTTCTAATATCCAACCTAACCCTGCCCTGACACAACTCCAGGTCATTCCCTGGGGTACTGTCCCTGGTCCTCACAGAGCAGAGCTCAGGGCCTGCCCCTCCTCTACCCCTCCCCAGGAAGTTGGACCTGCAGTGAGGTCTCCCCTCAGTCTCCTCTGCTCCAGCTGAACACACCAAGTGCCCTCAGTGTCCTCACACGCCTTCAAATCCAGGCCCTTCCTCATCTTCGTTACGCTCCTTTGGACACTCTCTAATGGCTCAATCTCTCCCTTCCATTGTGTCCCCCCAGACTGCCCCAATATTGAGGTGAGGCCACCCCAGGGCAGAGCAGAGCAGGACAATCCCCTCCCTGGCCCGGCCGGCCATGCTGGGCCTGATGCCCCCAGGACAGGCTTGGCCCTCCTGGCTGCCAGGGCACTGTTGACTGTCAGAGACTGAAATGGTTAAAGATTTATGCATTCTAGGAGACTCTTGCAAGATTTTGACCTTTGCATTGTACCTCTGATGGGCAGTTGGGCCTGTCCCTGCCTCCAGTGAAGAGCCAAGTTTGCAGGCTTTTGACTGTTGTATTATACCTCTGATGGGCAATTGGGTCCATCCCTCCCTCCAGTGCTGAAGGTGTCAAGCCCTGAAAAGGCAGGACCTCTGATGGCCCATAAAAACCCATCCCCTCCTCTGCCAATCTTAAAAAGGCGGGAACCAGGACAGACACAGAAACTGTGCAGGCCCAGGGGAAAGTTTGGGGGCTGGAGGCATGGCCCGTGACACTAACCATGGATATAAGAACTCATAACTTCTTGGCATGTGGGGGCTTCCCTCCTTCACCCCCAGCAGATCAAGGCCACCACTTCAACTGACAGACATGGAAGCGGCAACTACCAAGTGTCATCGCTGGACCCCGTGGGCAGTGACTATATACGTTTTGTCCACTCTCAGCTTTTCTTTTTCATTACTCTCCCTTACTCTTATCCTGTCTTTCTCTCCCCTATGCATTTTCTCCCCCCCCAAAGGTTATCTCTATGCCACGTTGTTACATGACAACACCCAAAATGCTGGCATACCTGTTGATACAAAATTGTTAAAATAAACCTTACCAATATATATTTTCAGACACCGATTATTCAGTGTCGTTTCACTCTAATCCACCCCAAGGGAATTATTGATAAGAACCTGGGTTACCCTCCTCCCCTTTTTCTGGGGTGGGTCGTAACACTGACTCGTGGTCAAGTGGCCACCAACCAGGACCCCCAGGGTCCTCTTCTGGCACTGCTTTCCAGCCTCTCATTCCCAGTCTGTCCATACATCCAGGATTGCCCCATCCCAGGGGCAGAATCCAGCACGTCTCCTTGTTGAACTTCCTGTGGTTGGTGATTGCCCAGCCCCCAGATTTGTCCAGGTCTCTCTGCAGGGCCTCCCTGTCTTCAAAGGAGTCAACAGCTTCTCCCAGTTTTGTGTCATCTGCAAAGTGTCCTTTCCAGTCCTGTGTCCAAGTAATTTATGAAGATGTTGAAGAGCACAGGGCCCAAGATTGAGCCCTATGAAACCCCACTAGTGACAGGTCACCAGTCTGATGTCACCCTCTGTGCTCAACCCATGAGCCAATTGCTCACCCACCCCATGATGTGTTTGCCCAGTCATGGGTTGATGGACCCCAGCATGTGCAAAAAACATTTTCAATCCTGAAGTCTGCTCTCCTCATGGCCAGAGGTGAGGTTTTGCTGGCATTTCTCCTCCTGTCAACAGAGATTTTAAACTTGATCCCTTCATGGTTGCTGTGGCCAAGATGGCCCCAATCTCCACTTGCTCATGAGATCCTCTCCGTGGACAAGTAGCAGATCAAGGAGGGCACTGATCTGAGTCAGCTCCCTTAGGATCTGTTTCATCAAGTTGTCATCCAGGTTTTTCCAGGGGTCTCTAGGGCTTCTAAGGAGCCATGAGGTCACTGGCTGTGACAGGTGCTGCATGATGACATCCCAGAGGTCTCTCGGGTCCTAAAGATCCATTAAGTCATGCACAGTAACAGGGGCTCCATGGTGACATCAGAGGTGTCTCCAGCCTGCTCAGAAGTAGAGAGGTCACAGACAAGCACACGGTGACACCTCAAGTTGTTTTGCCAAGGGGATGAGGGTCAGCACAAGAGACACAGACACCAACCTTAAGGAACAAGTGCGTAATGTTACTTTAATGCAAAACAGCAAAGAATTGCAAAAAGATAAGCTCAGTAATGCACCTAATCGTTACTACAAAGACTGCCTACAGTCACTAAGAAATCACCAGTTACCCTGATACATTACCAGCATCCAGACCTGCAGGTCACCTGGGGAACCCCGGTCACAGCAAAGGGTCAGAGAACCCCTCTCGGGATCTGGGAAGTCCTATGCAGGTCATCCAATCATAGTGGAGGTCTCTATCTTTGCTGTGAGAGGGTCCAGCTTTTATACTGTTGAACAAACAAACTTACATAACCACTAGTGTGGAAAACATCTGGCTTCCTTCTCTCCTTGGGTTTCACCCAAAGCCTGGCCAGGGCTTCAGGGGAAAACCAAGGGAGTCATCCTGCACCATCTGCTGCCAAACAAGGCCAGGGATCTACTTCCATGGCCTTGACTAGTCTCTAAATACAGAAAGATAAATATACTCATATTTTGCTGACAATCATACATATTTCATTAATGAACAGATACAAATGTTATTCACTAATGAGAGAACAAAAATATACCTTACTAATAAGCACACATATTTACACAGGTGTAGTCTTATCACAGTACCTACTTTACTAACAAGCATACATAGATTTTGTTGATAAGCGGATACATGACTTAATACAACGTTAGGTTGAAAGGTTCATCTAAAGGTCAACCTTGGCTCAGGGCCTGTTGTTCAGGCCTCAGCACTCCAGTGGGTCACCAGTTGTGGCTGAAGCTCTTCCTGCATTTCAAGGACTTGTAAGGCTTCTCCCTGGTGTGGATCTGCTGATGGCGGAGCAGGGTGGAGCTGTCTCTGAAGCTCTTCCCACATTCCAAGCACTTGTAGGGCCGTTCCCCCGTGTGGATCATCTGGTGGCGGATCAGGCTGGAACTGTGGCTGACGCTCTTCCCACATTCCAAGCACTTGTAGGGCTTTTCTCCAGTGTGGATGCTCTGGTGGCGAACCAGTTCAGAGCTGTGGAAACTCTTCCCGCGTTCCAAGGACCTGTAAGGCTTCTCCCTGGTGTGGATCTGCTGATGGCGGAGCAGGGTGGAGCTGTCTCTGAAGCTCTTCTCACATTCCAAGCACTTGTAGGGCCGTTCCCCCGTGTGGATCATCTGGTGGCGGATCAGGCTGGAACTGTGGCTGACGCTCTTCCCACATTCCAAGCACTTGTAGGGCTTCTCCCTAGTGTGGATGCTCTGGTGGCGAACCAGTTTAGATCTGTGGCTGAAGCTCTTCCTGCATTCCAAGCACTTGTAGGTCTTCTCCACAGTATGGATCTTCTGGTGGCTGATCAGGTTGGAGCTCTTTCTGAAGCTCTTCCCACATTTCAAGCACTTGTAGGGCCGTTTTCCCCTGTGGATCATCTGGTGGCGGATCAGGTTGCAATTGTGACTGAAATTCTTCCCACATTCCAAGCACCTGAAGGGCTTCTCCCTGCTGGGAGGCTGCTCAAGGACCACCAGGTCGGAGCTCCGGCTCAAGCTCCAGCCGCCTTCCCGGCACAGGCTGGGTCTTTCCTCCTGGGAGCACCCTGGGCTGGCTTTGGAGCCCCTCCTTGTTGGGTATCTCTGTGGTTTTTCCTCCCCGCTGCCTTTCTGTGCCGTGGAGCCCTTCAAAACGGCCTCTCCCACCAGGCTCTGCTGGGGGGATTTGTCCTCCGGGCTCTCCGTCCTCAGCTCGGGGCCTGGGGCAGGAAGGAAGAAGGACAGGGATTTGCCTCCGGCCCAGAGGGAAGGCCAAGGACATCCCCCCAACTCCGGCCCCGGCAGGACGGCGATGGCAGCGGGGTTGTCCTGCAGCCAGGGGCCATGCTCAGCTGGAAGATGCAAAACAAGGCAAAGGGGCACTGACTTCCTCCTCACCTGCCTGGGTGTCCTGGGGCATCTTCCTCACAGCCTCCTCCTCCATCCAACCAAGGTTTGGGAATCAGAAATCCTGTTTTGGTGGGAAAAAACCCAAAACAGGTTTTGGGTGTGAGCACATTGGGTTGGGGATTCCTCCTGGAATGGTATCCATAAACCCCTCCAAAACATGAAGATTCAGCCCCAAAAAACCCTCCCAGGAGTTCCCCCTCTCTAGTCTCTCCACTTTGGGGTTCTGGGGGTCCCCCTGTCCAGGCTGCTTGTGGTGCCATGTGTATTGGGGGTCACCCTTCTCCGGGATCTCTGCCCCCTCCAGGCTGCCAGTGGCCTTGGGAATCCCAGGAGTGTCTCCTCTCCAGACTCCTCACTTTGGGGTCCTGGAGTTCCTCCCGCTCCATGGTCCTGCTTAGGGATGCCGGGGGCTTTGGGGGTCAAGGGGTCCATTCTCCCTTCGCTCTCTGATTCTGGGTGCTGGATTCCCAGGGGTTCCCCCTCTCCTGGGTCTCACCCTCTCCAGGCTGCTGGGGGTCCTCTCTCTCCAGGCTCCAGTTTCAGTATCCCAGAGGTCCCCCCCTCCAGAGTTTCTCCTCTCCTGGATGCCACATGTCCCAGGGTTCTCCTATCTCTGTGCTCCCCCCCTCCCCAGGCTGCTGGGGCTCACCCAGCTCCAGTATCATCCCTCTCCACTCTCCCCACTCTGGGGGTCCCGGGGTTCCCCACCTGGGTCTGCTGGAGGTCCCCAAAACTGGTGGACCCCCCCTGAGATGGGACACGTGGCTCCTGCCTGCTGGCACCTGCTGGGACCCCCACCAAAAAAACCTACCTGCTGGGGACCCCCCAGTATCTCCCCAAGGGGCATTTGCAGTTCATTCCGGAGTCTTTAAGCTGCAAACATCCCCTCCCCCCAAAAACCCAACATGGACCCCCCAAGATATCTGGAGCGAGCTCCCCCTCCCCAGTCATCTGTGGAATGCAGGTGGGGCGATGCTTCCAGGGTGGGAGGAACTGTGATGGTTGTTCCTCCTCTTCCTCCTTTTCCTGCTCCCCCACTTCCTCTATTCTTCCTCTTCCTCCTGCTCCTCCTCTTCCTGCTCCTCCTCCTCCATCCCTCCTCCTCCTTCTCCTCCCTAACTCCACCTCTTTCTCCTACCTCCACCCCTTCTCCCACTCCTTTCTGCATCCCTCCTCTTCCTCTCCCAGGCCCAGCACCCACCCTTGGTCCTCCCTTCCCCCCAAACCCATCACATCCTGCAGGAGGAGCAGCGACGGAGCTGGGGCAGGTCGGGATGGGGCAGCGCTGGGCTCTTGGCTGCTTCCACCCCCTGGGGGGGATCCCAGGAAGGCCAAAAGAACAGGAAAAGGGGCAAAAGTGGTGGCTGGAGATAAAAATTTGGGGGTTATGGTCCCCCCGGGTGGGCACTTCCAGCCTTTTGGGCTCATCTCAGGAGCCTGGAGATCTTGGAGGGGGGAATGCAGAGATGGATGGGGGATCCCAAGGGATTTTGGGAACAGCATGAGGGGTTGTGAGAACCCCTTGCTGGGGGGTCGGGCTGGAGACCCCCTGGTGCTCCTGGAGCCCTGGGCTGGGGAGTTGTCACCACCTTCTCCTGCCTGGGGGGCTCTGGGGGAACCTCGGCTCCTTGGGCTCTTCCTGCAGCCACAGAGCTTGGAGGGACCCTCCTCAAGATGGGTCCTCCAGGTGTTCCAGGAGCTTTGGGCTCATCCTGGGAGTGACTGGGCTACACTGGGAGTGACTGGGATAATACAGAGAGTGTCTGTAACCATACTGGGAATGACTAAGACCACACTGGGAGCAACTGGGAGCAAGTAGGAGTGACTGGATCTATACTGAGGGCAACTGGGTGTGACTGGATGTGGCAGGAGAGCCTACCCCTGATAAAACCTAAAATCCAATCAGAGAATGCACACAATGCAAGCCATCAGCTGCTGGTGCCACAGTGTTGCCTCGGTGTTATTGTGCTAAAACCATCCTGGGTCACCAGACATCGAGTCAGATCAGCTGCTCGAGGGGCTGTAAAGGTGTGACTGGCAATCACTTTATACTGTACAAGTCCAGTCCCCTCTCATACAGTCAGGTTCTTCTGACATAACCCTCCCTGGGGTGTAGGTGTGGAGATTCCTCCCTTGGCTGGGGACACCTCCAAGGTCACTCCTGCAGGTTGAGAGCAGAGATCTCCCCAGAAGTGTTGGTCTGGGTGAGTTACATCCATCTCTAATTAATAATTATTGCTTTTTGCAGGCTTTAATATAATTGCTTCTGGCTGGGAGTCCCCCAGGAGTCTCCCCCTGACGCCGCGGGTGAGTGGTGGGGTCCCGGGTTGCTGGGAGCCCTCCCCTGGCACTGTGGGTGAGTGGTGGGTCTGGGCTGGCTGCGTGTGTGTGGCGGGGTCCTGGGCTGGCTGGGAGTCCCCGGGGAGTCCCCCCCGGCGCCGCGGTTCAGGCCCCAGGCGTGGCCACGACAGGAGAGGGGAGAGAGAATGGGGGAGCCTTGCCGGCAGTTGCTGCACGCCCGTGGAGGAGGAGAGAGCAGCTTCAGAGCACGCAGAGGTTTGCAGTTCCAGGTTTGGGGGGGAAGGGGGAGGGGGAGTACAGAGGATGGGAGGGGGGATACGGGGGAGTGGGGGCGGGGGAAGAGAGGGGAGGGGTATCGTGTGGGCCATGGGGGTCCTCTGATTGGCAGGAGGGAGAGCGGGGCACTCCTGTATGAAGTGTCACAGGTGAGCAGTGTGCCTGAAGATATGTGGTAACACAGTGGAGGAAGGATATGGTCAGGGTGGCTAGTGGGGTTCCTTTAGAGTGATGGGGGTCCCAGCCAAGCTGGGGCCTTGATAAACACCCCAGCCTTGGATGTGTACGGGGGCCAGAACGGTTGGTCGGTTTGTTTGTCTGCTTGTTTTTCGCTCACCTGCAGCTACTGCCCAGGTTCGGCATGTTCTGGATATATTTGCTTTGCTCTATTACGTCCTGAAAGGGTGGGCAGGACAAAGGGTTGTTCCTGGGTATCTCCTCATGATTGTATATAAATAGGTGATAGTAAAGTAGAAAATGTAAGACTTGCCCAAACCGTTCGAACAGGAACGTAGCCTGTGTGCCCCTATGCGGTTGTGAGCTATGCTGGCGTGGTACACGCCTTTGGTAGGGTCACCCATGCCAGACAGGTCAAAACAGTAGGGTCAGACACAATACATCTGTGGGCAGGATGAGTTTGTTAGCCTTCTGGCAGTCATCCTAGGAGAAGGACAACTCTAATCCCAAACCTGGGCAGATGGAGCTCGCTTAGCCCCGTAAGGCCATCCATCTAAGAGAAGGTCACTCTAATCAAACCTACGTCCTGAGGACCTTGCTGCCACCATCCAAACTCGCTCAGCCCTGGCAGATGAACCTCAGGATTAAAGGGTGGATTCAGTTCCGCACATACTGCATCTCACCTAAAAATCCATTGCGCAGGCTTGAAGGCTTTACCCACATGCAAAAAGTCCTGTAGCGACGGGCGAGGGTCAAAATGGCAGGTGAAAGGTGCACTGGGAGCCGCAGACCCAGCCCTGCATGCAGGCGGTTCAGGATATTGGTCATTTGAGACTGACCGGAGATGACAGTCTCTTGGGGCAGCACCCTGAACGACCAAGCAGCCTTTCCAAGGACAGCACTGCTTGCTCCACTCGGAGAGGGGCCTAGAAAAGGTGACCTAACCAAAGCTCATCTCCACCTTCACCCGGTTGGTTAACCGCAGACCAACGGGCATCTTCCTCCAATGCGGTCGCACAAAGATCAAAAGACAAAGGCACACACCTGCCTCCAAAGGTGTACCTAAATTAACTCTAGCATGTTGGAACATCAGAACCATGCTCGATTCTGCAGATAGCGGACATCCTGAGCGACGTTCCGCCCTAATTGCCCATGAACTGGCTCGTCTCAACATCGACATTACTGCTCTCAGTGAAGTTCGCCTTCATGAAGAAGGCAGCCTCAGAGAACATGGTGCCGGTTACACACTCTTAGTCAGGTAAGCCCAGAACCGAAAAACATCTCTCAGGAGTCGGCTTCATGATCAAAAACTCCATTCTTCCCAAACTTGAAAATCTGCCGACAGGTCACTCTGACTGCATTATCTCCCTACGCCTTCCACTACACAACAACCAACACCTTGTCCTCTTTAGTATATATGCCCCAACTCTCCAAGCTGACCCTGCTGAAAAAGATGAATTTTACTCTGACCTGCACTACCTTACCCAAAAGGTGCCTGCTGATGATAAGATCATTATCCTTGGTGATTTCAACGCCAGAGTAGGTAAGAATTTTGAAGCCTGGAAAGGAATATTAGGCAAGCATGGTGTTGGAAACTGCAACGATAATGGTCAACTTCTGCCAGAATTCTGTGTAGAGCAACAGCTCACCATCACTAATACTATCTTTCAGCAGAAAAATAGTCTGAAGACAACCTGGATGCACCCCCGTTCTAAGCATTGGCACCTCATCGATTATGTCCTGGTGCGACGGAGAGATGTCCGCGATGTCCTCCATACCCACGTGACGCCCCGTGCAGAATGCCAACAGACCATCAGCTTGTGCGCTGCAAACTTAACTTCAATCTCAAATTCAAACCTAAAAGGGGCAGTATCCCAAGGAGAAGACTCCAAGTTAACAATCTCCAATCAGCCACAGTAAGAGAGAAATTCCAGGCAAACCTTCAAACTAGGCTCGAAAACCATTCCACAGATTCTGCAGATTCCTCCCCTGAATCAACTTGGCATCTTATTAAAAACAGCATCCTGCAATCCTCCGAAGAATCCTTAGGGTTCTTCCTCAAGAAGAACAAGGACTGGTTTGACAAAAACAATCAAGAAATCCAGGACTTGCTGAGGAAGAAGAGAACTGCCCACCAAGCACACCTTGCACTGCCATCCTGTCACGCAAGAAAAACAGCCTTTTGTCTTGCATGCAGCAAGCTCCAACAGAAACTCCGTGACATCCAGAACAAGTGGTGGATTGATCTAGCTGAAAAAACTCAATTATGCGCAGATACAGGTGATCACAGAGGTTTCTATGAGGCCTTGAAAACAGCATACGGGCCTACATACCAGGTACAAAGTCCTCTACTCAGCGCTGATGGTCAAACACTTCTGACAGATAAAACCTCCATTCTGAATCGATGGTCTGAACACTTTCAGACTCTTTTCAGTACCAACCGTGTAGTCCAAGACTCAGCAATTCAGTCCATCACACAACAACTGGTGAAATACGAATTGGATACTGCCCCCACTTTAAGAGAAACCCTCAAGGCCATACAGCAGGTGAAAATCGGCAAGGCAGCTGGGGTTGATGGAATTCCACCTGAAGTCTGGAAACATGGGGGCCTTGCACTCCATACCAAATTCCACGAGTTTGCAGTGCGCTGTTGAGAACTAGGCAAACTACCATCAGACCTCCGAGATGCAGTCATCATCACTTTGTATAAGAAGAAAGGAATTAAATCTGATTGCTCAAACTATCGTGGTATTACTCTGCTCTCCATTGCTGGCAAACTCCTGGCAAGAATACTCTTGAACAGACTAATACCCACTATTGCAGAAGCAATTCTTCCTGAAAGTCAGTGCGGTTTCAGGGCCAACAGGAGCACCACAGACATGGTGTTTGTTCTCAGACAACTGCAAGAGAAGTGCAGGGAACAGAACAAAGGTCTCTATGTCGCCTTTGTTGACCTCACCAAGGCTTTCGATACTGTGAGCAGAAAAGGTCTGTGGCAGATTTTGGAATGTTTAGGTTGTCCCCCTAAATTCCTTAAAATGATCATCTCACTCCATGAGGATCAGCAC